CTAAAATATACTAATATTTTAGTTCGAATTTGCTATTGTTTTCTTAGTCACATTTTATTATTACTGTTGTACTCATATAAAATATTTGATATCATTTAATATTTGTTCAATTTTAAAGATGGAGCGTGGTAGACATTCTGTAGATGTGGGTAATCTCCAACGCAACCGCAAGAGGGAGATTGTGTCGACTCGTCCTACTTCACGCAAAGGCAAAGGTAAAGCGCGGGCCGAGTCTTCTTTTCAAAGTCGAGATGATTTTGAAACGGATTACCAACGGAGAGATGATATGATGATGTCCGACGAGCAACTACAACACCTATTGTCCCAAAATGATCCACGCTTTGCACAAGAACAACACATCCCGACAACCATTGATGAAGAGGAGCTCGAGGATGACGATGCGGAGGAGGACGCGGGGGGCGACGGGACTCACGGCACCCCGGATGATGAGCAAGAGTTGGAGGACGAGGGCGGTTCATCCCAAGTTGGTAAGAAATCTAAATATCCTATTATTGAAAACAATTTTACAAAAAGGAAAGACAAAAATACCGAAAAATGGTACGCAAATTGCAATCATTGCGGCAAAGAGTATAGCTTGGAAACTTATGGCGGATACGGGTGTCTGACAAAGCATCTTAAGTCCGCCCACCTTGTGGAGTATGCGAAAATAGACAAGGGCAAGGGGAAGCAAACACAAATATCGAGGTTTGCAAATTTTCAACCCTTTGGTAATTTCTCCTATGATGATAAAAAACATTTGACTGGTATGTCTCATTTAATTGTTGAAGAAAATTTACCCTATATTTTTTCCGAAAGTCTTGCTTTAAGAGATTATGATCAAGGTACTTTAAATCCTCAATTTAGATATTATAGTCGCAAAACGATTAAAAAGAAGTTATAAGGCAATATAACTTGGAAAAAGAAAAATTACAAACATTTTTCGCAAACTTTAATGGACGTGTTAGTATTTGTAGCGATATATGGGAGGATGCTTATCATCATTTATATTATTTGGGTCTTACTGCACATTATATTGATGATGATTGGATATGCATAAACGTGTTCTTGCTTTTCGTGAATTCAATGATCGTCATACTGCTGATAATATTTATATTCTCATTGAGCGTATTTTAATTGAGTATAATTTTCTTGATAAGGTGTTTGATGTAGGTTTTGATAATGCTAGTAATAATACTGCTGCTATACCTAGATTGCGTGAATTGTGTGGTGCTTCTACATTGATGGGTAGGTTTTTTCATCAACGTTGTGTATGTCATATTCTAAATTTGTGTGTACAAGATGGATTAGCGGCATTATGAAATGCTTTGGAGGTAGTGAAGGGGGGAATAAAATTGATTCGGGCTAACACTCCACTAAAAATGCAATGGCGGCAATATTTGAAGGAAAGACGTGTCAATTATTGTGGTTTTCCTAAAGATTTGTCTATTCGTTGGAATAGTACTTATAACTTAATTCAAGTACTTATTAGATATAAAAATCATTTTCCTGCTTTTTTAAGACAAACTTGTAACTATATTATAAACCCGGCTGACATCGACACTTGTGAAAAAACTGTTAATGTTTTGGTATATTTTAATAACGCAACTCAAACTTTTAGTCATGTTTATAAACCTACCGCAAACGAATTTTTTGTTGAAGCTGTTAATCTCGTCGGCGCTTTTTTAGAATTTTCCGATGCCGCTTACGTTAGTTATTTTTGTGATTTCATGAAACAAAAGTTTTTAAAATATTATTCACATGTTCCGCATATATATGGTATTGCATTTGTTCTTGATCCTCGTTCTAAACTTGTCTCGTTGCCAAGTTGTATAGATTACTATTATGCTTGTTTTTTTCCAACTCAAGAGTTCGATGATAATCCCATCGACCCTAAACAAGAATACAACGAGGTTAGTAATTTATTTCATCAATTGTATAATGAATTTCATGCACAGTATGGTAATGCACCCCCTCCCATGCCGCGAACATCTTCTTCATCTAAAGGAAAATCACTTTTAAAATCTGCATTTGGTTCTCTTATGAAAAAAAGTAGAGCAACTCCCGCTACTGACCAAAGCTCAGTTAACGAGCTTTTTTTGTATCTAACATTGAATGTTGATTATGAAGTTGGGGATGACTTTGACGTTCTTAAGTGGTGGAAGGAAAATGAAAGAACGTTCCCGGTTTTATCAAAGATGGCTAAGCAAGTGCTAGCAATGCCGATATCAACAGTTGCCGTGGAACAAGAATTTAGTGCGGCCGGCAACGTCCTAACCGATTATAGAACGAGGTTGAGCCCGAGCTCTCTTGAGACGCTAGTTTGCTTCCACGATTGGTTGAAGGCCCAACGAAGAACTCAAGAAATGACAATCGCTCCCACCCGCCACTTTATGGAGGAAACAACCACCGAAGGCGGAGATTCCGATTGATTTTTTTATTACAAAATGTATTACATTTTTTAAATGCATCCTAATTCTCAACTGTACTTCTTATTTGAAATAAATATACTTGAATTGTTTTATATTATTGTGTACATCAATTCAATAATTCTCAAAAAAAAATGTATTCAATAATAAATTCAATAAAATTAATTTGTAAACTTGTACTTCATATTTCAAATAAATATGCGTTTATTTTTTCATATGTAGCACTTCTCAAATTAATTAATTGGTTACAAACTTATAACTTACAACTTGAAATTATTTTTGTAAAATCTAAAGGCTGTTTTTAAATTAAAATATGTAATATTAATATGTAAATTAATTAATTGGTTACAAACTTACAAGTTACAACTTCAATATGTAATTTGTTTAAATACTTATAAACCTATTTTGTAACATTTGTAAATTATAAATCAAATCACTTTTCTAAGTAAAAATAGTTTTACTTAATTCATTAATTAATTAACTTATTTTACAATATGTATAATTTTCAAAAAAAAAATTAAAAACATTTTGAAATACAAAATTGCTCCCAAACGGCTGTATAGCCGTTGGGGCTTAGGGTGGGGGGCAGGGGGGTCCCGGGGGTGGTGGTGTGGGGGTGGGGTTCAAAAAAATCTATAAATACATCTATTTTCTACCATTTATCTACACCTCTTATCCAACTCTTCTCCATCTTCATCTTCTCTTATTAACCTACATTTCTACTTATACATCTACCATTTTAAAGATGGAAAGTAATTCTTCTGTTATGCAAAACAATTTTTATAAGTGGAAGGACCCGAAGACCAGACTGTGGTGGGCAACTTGCAAGTGGTGCAAGAAAGAGTGTTGCTTGGGGCGTTCACACGGAGTCACGATGCCAATACAACATATGAAGTCATGTGACAAAGGCAAAACAACAACCAACGGTGGCGGAAATCCCAATTGATATTTATTAGAAAATGTATTTCATATTGTTATTGTTTTCTCAATTCTCAAATGTACTTCCTATTTCAAATAAATGCACTTGAATTTTGTTTTTAATAAGAATTATTATAATAATATAATATATAATTTAAAAAAAAATATAAGGCCCGGCCCGGCCCGTGAACCAGGCGGGTGACCCGAACCGGACCCGGGTTTACCCGGGCCGGTTCCGGGCCTCCCATACCTTGAACCGAGGCCCGGCCGGTTCAAGGCCCGAACCGGGCCCGAACCGAGTCCATCCATACTCTGAGTCTCACTCTAGTGTAGTCTTGATATGACAAATTTGTATCTGTGTTTGATCTCTTTTAATAATACTCCCTCCGATTCAAAAAAAGTTCCACATTTCCTTTTCGGGCAATTCCAAAATTAAGTTCCACTTTCAAACCTTTTCTTATTTGGCAAATTATCTACATCAAAACAATTCCAAACAGTGTCAAACAGTGTCAAATAGTGTCCAAACAGTGCACTCCACAGTAATGTCAAATTTCTTTTCTTAATATGTGTGCCAAAAAAATTACCCTTTTTAATTGATGTTGACCTATCCGCCTTCCCAATGGGCTTGAGGGAGAGTTTTGTGTTGCTCTTCACAACAGAAGAAAAGAACTTAAAACTTATGAAAATGAAGGAAAAAAAGTCAAATAAGGCCTTCTACTATTATGAAATAGTCACATAAGGTCATATACTAAAAAAAGTGTCATATAAATACCTCTATTTGTAAAAAGCAATCAAATGAGTCATAATGACCTATTTAACACCTCTTAATCCTGATTTTAGCGTACTTTTGACCAACTTTTTAGAATAGATGATGCGGCATGCGTCAAATATTTAACTAAGTCTGATTGAAATACAAGTCAAAAAAATCGACATGTAAACTAAAACCTGGATTAGGAGGTTGTAAATAGGTCGTTCGGACTTATTTGATTGTTCTTTACAAGTAGAGGTACTTCTATGATACTTTATTGACTACATGGCCTTATGTAACTATTTCATAATAGTAGAAGGTCTTATTTGACCCTTTTCTCAAAATCAAGAATACAAAGAAGAAATAGTTGATGGGACTTCAAGGTATGAAAGGAACAGTTTTTCAAAAATATGACTAAAACCAAACATTTTATATGACGTGACTAACAGTTATTACTCCCCACATCCCTAATAAAATTGCAATATTACATTAATGATTAAGATAGTGAGTATTGTGTGGTGGAAAATTATGAAGAAGAAAAAATGTGTAACAAATGTTGTGAACAACAATTTTTTTACTAAAATGAGAATGTCAAAGTTTAATTGGGATGGACGAAAAATTAAATTTGAAAATCTATTTAGAGACGGAGGGAGTACACTATAGTGTCATGGTCAATAAAATTTTAAAATTGAATATAAATTACTCTGGAGTATAATTTAATCATAACTATAGCCATTAGTTACATTTTTGTTAATAATATTCTTTTTATTAATAACTATATAATTATTTTAAAAAAAAGTTCAGAAGATAAACAAATTTTATTGTTAAATAAAATTCTAATTAAGGACTTTTATGCAATTTTTAATACGAAAGTATATAATAGGATATACTCCGTACTAAGTAAAGCCAATTAGGTTAAGCCACACATTTTAAGGTACCAAAACTCTCTGTAATTGTGAAGAGGCGAAGGCTTCCTGCAAAACCAGATAAATTAGGGACAGATTTGTTGCGGCTTCGGGAAGGAGTATGAAGCCGGCGGAGATGAGTAGCGGCATCCCCTTCCTTTCAATAGACATCATATCGAACGTTCTCCAGCAGCTTCCGGTGAAATCCCTATTGCGATTCCAAACTGTGTGCAAACTTTGGAAGAATATCATCAAGAGCCCGTCTTTCATCGCCAGCCATCTCGAGCACTCCATCCGAGAAAACCCCTCTCTTATTATCGTACGGCACTTCTACCGCAATAACTCCTTTCATCTATATTGTCTGGACCGGGACATGAAACTCAGCCGTGTTCCGAAGGATCCTTTGATCGATTCCTTCAAGTCCGTCCGGATATTCCGCTCCTGTAATGGCGTGCTCTGTGTTCAAGTCGATCTTCTTCCTGGTACTTTACCGTCTCTTTACTTGTGGAATCCTGCAACTAGAGAGGTTATGCAGGTGCCTAGAATCAGAACAATCATGAATTCATGTTGGATATGTAGTTTGGGATTTGCAGCCAGTCCAACCGTTAACGATTTGAAAATTGTCTTAGTCATAAGCATTTCGACGCGGGGTGATGTGTCTAATGTAGTTGAAGTTTATTCACTCAGCACAAATTCATGGAAGAAAATACACATGGCTAGCTTGAAGGACATGGACTTTCGCCCTCATTGTATTACTTCTAATGGGTCTATCTTTTGGTTTGCAACAATGGGAGGTTTGACATCTCATGGCGGAGATCATACTAATGTCATAGTTTCGTTTGATTTAGAAATGGATGAGTTTCGATTGGTAACACCGCCTCCTTCATCCAGGAACAAAATTGCTAATCTGACTTTGTATGAGAACAGACTTGCAGTATTTCATTACTCTAACCCTTCAAACATAGGAAATACTCCGGAGGAATTGTGGGTGGTTGAGGAAGGCATTGGTGGTTCCTGGAGTAAGGTATTGACTTTTGGCCCTTATCCCTACTATGTATTACCGTTGACCATTTGGAGGAACAAAATATTCTTCAATGTTTTTCCTGAATATTCAGTAGAGGGGAACAATGAGATTGGTGATGCTGGTAGTTTTTTGTTTGATCTCACTTCTAATGAAGTCAAGGTCTGTTCTTCGAGAAGATATGACATTTATAGTGTTCAAAGATATGTTGAAAGCCTTGTACTCCTTCGCAACTTCCACAAAGGAAAGCAGTGATTTTAAAGCGTAGTAATTATTGAATAATTATAACGCATTGTAGATTTACTGATTGTATTGGCTCTTCGTAGACGATGATAAATTAATTTTTTGTTTGTAGTTGTATAACATTTCAAACGCCATTTAAAGAAACAAATGCATTTTTAAAAAAATTATTATTTGTTTCTTGTATGTGATTACATTTGCATAGTTTTTTACATGTTTTGAAATACTGCATGTGTTATTGGTCTATGCAAATGTACTGTTTTCCATTTTAGGTTCTAGCAAATTTTTTTTTTTTTTGTTTTCTTTTACATTTATGTAATCTGTCAATCTGTGTTGTTTTTGTTTTAAATCTCTCGCCAACCCTAGAACTTCAGTATTAGAACGAAACATATTCTTGTCTTGTTTTTTCAAGTCATTCAAAAACTACGTTATTTATTTATTTCAAAGGAGCCACAGAGATGATTATTATCACTTCATTTTAAGTTTGTTAGTAGTCTCACTTATCATCAATCATCTCAACTACTGAACTACTCCAACAATGATATGAAGCGGGAAGAGCATGGGGAGGGACGGGCTTGAGCCCACCTCCGTGGGCTGGTTGCGGGCTGTTTAATTAAATTTTATTATTCCTTTTATTTTGTTTCCTAATTTAATTTGTTTCCTAATAGGATTTATTTAGGATTTCTATTCTTATTAGAATTAGAGGTTTCCTATTTCTATTTAGTTTCCTAGAATGATTTAATTAGGAGTTCTATTAGAACTGGAGGTTTCCTATTCCATTTAGTTTCCTAGAATAATTTAATTAGGATTCCTATTCTTATTAGACCTAGAAGGTTATTTATACCCCTTGTATGCTTCATTCTTGATCATCTTGGCATAAAAGTTGGTTTAGCCTTTTGGCTCTGGGCAACGGTTCACCCCGTTGATTTTATTTTTCTGTTCTTATCAATTGGTCCGACCTGCCGGATCCCGTCCCGCCAAGATGACGAGATCTCAGAACGATCGTTTGACAGAGATGAGGGCCGAATAGTTCCGAATGAGGACTGAGCAAAGTCGGTTGAAGCAAACACTGAAAGAAAATGGCATGCGGCTGGCTGAGATCGCCGCATCCCTAGCGGCGCTGACCAAGGCCCTTGTGCCATCGATCGCGACGCACCTAGCAGCGCTGACCAAGGCCCTTGTGCCACCGATCACGACGGAGACACCATCAGACACAGTCATCAGTGCCGCCATCGTAGCGGCAACACACAACGACGAACCTCCGCGCAGCACTCCTCCAACGTTGCTGCCCATGTTCAACCGAGAAGATCCAATCAGGGGGATAGCTAGGGTTGAACAAAAGTTTGAAATTATCCAACCCTACCTGAGAGGAAAGTGGCCACAACCACGGTAGCCATGGAAGGAGCTGCCTTGAACGGGTTGACCTGGTTGAAGGCACAAAAACCAAGCATGACCTCGGGGGAATTTACACAAGCATTGGTGGCCCGATTTGATTCAGGGTTCAAAGAAAGCCAATTCAAACGACTGTTCGGGGTCCAACAGTTGGGAACCGTAGAGGAATATAGTAACCTTTTTGTTCAATCTGCCAACCGGGTTCCCGGACTGTTCGATGATTATTACTTGAGCTATTTCATGAATAAGCTGAAAGGATCGAGTGGCAGCTTTCCTCAAGATACTGGGCAGCCCCCGGGGACAAGTGTGAGTCGGTATCTGGATTCCAACCTTGAGGACAAGGTTAATTTGAAGGAGGATGAATTGATATGAAGCGGGAAGAGCATGGGACGGGACGGGCTTGAGCCCACCTCCATGGGCTGGTTGCGGGCTGTTTAATTAATATTTATTATTCCTTTTATTTTGTTTCCAAATTTAATTTGTTTCCTAATAGGATTTATTTAGGACTTCCATTCTTATTAGAATTAGAGGTTTCCTATTTCTATTTAGTTTCCTAGAATGATTTAATTAGGAGTTCTATTAGAACTGGAGGTGTCCTATTCCATTTAGTTTCCTAGAATAATTTAATTAGGATTCCTATTCTTATTAGACCTAGAAGGTTATTTATACCCCTTGTATGCTTCATTCTTGATCATCTTGGAATAAAAGTTGGTTTAGCCTTTTGGCTCTGGGCAACAGTATTTATTTATCGTTGATTATCTGGGCAACGGTTCACCCCGTTGATTTTATTTTTCTGTTACTATCAAACAGACAAATACCTTCTCTACTCATCCCTTTTGACGGCATTTATATTTATATTTGCTCGATAGGGGCATGCAAGTCAACCAGGCTCAAATGGACCTTCTATTGGTTCTATCCTGTGCGGCAAGATCGTGAGATCCAGGCATCCAACAACTGCTTGTTTTGTGCTCAAATCCATCCTGATTTGAGAGGTTATAGAGGTTCCTGGAAGTAGAACAATCAACGATCATAGTTTCTATAGTAACGGTTTGGATAGTGATAACCAATGGGATGATGGATGATGTGGTTATTAGAGTTGAAGTCTATTCATTAACCATGCTAAACTTTGAGGATATCTGCTTCATCAGTTACAACCTCATTGCTAAAGGGGTTATCTTTTTGTTTGCAAGAAAGATGAGTTTGGCAATGGATGGGAAATATTAGGTGTGTGAAATATGACTAACAAGAAAATAAAGATAAATTACCACAATATTATAAAACAGTATAAATGCTAACAACCACCACCTCCTTCATCCAGGAACACAGTTGTTAAGGTGATAGTTTATGAGAACGGATTTGCGCTACTTTATTACTCTAGCTCCAGACCAAACTCATTATGTAATTCAATGATTTGTGGGTGATTAAGGAAAGCATGCGTGCCTCTTGGAGTAAGAAGTTGAGTTGTAATTACCATTGTTCATACCCTATATATGCTCTGTATTGACCATTTGGGAAAAGTGGGTTGTCTATACTCTGTAGTGCTAAATGAAGAGGTGAAGAGTGATGAGATGAAAGCCGGTGTGTTTTCATTTGGTCTTACTTCTAACTAATATAAGTTCATTGATCTAATGATCTTAGCATATTAGTCGGTAGTTCTGAGCTTTTAAATATGTCGAAAACTTTGTGCCAGTGAATATTATCAACATCGGAAACCATTGCTTCTAATGCAGAAGTATTTTGCATTTAGCATTGCAGATCTATTCAATTCATGTTTATATACTAGTGGAGGCTTAGGCATCAATTTTCCCAGTTCTCTTACAAAGATTATTTAGAACTGCATCTCTGTAGAGTCTGTGTAGACTTTTTGTTATGGGAAAGTCCAAAATAATATGTTGGTGTGATCTTATTAGAGCATGCGCTTCGCGCGCCATTGGCGCTTTGCTCTCCTCTTATTCTTCATTGGACGGTTCGGATGGATCTCCAATGATTCCTCCCAAAGACTTGCTTGCAATTGTTTTATCCCTATACTAATGCAGATTGTTTTATGACTAAAATTTGTCCAATTCATCAAGTAAAAAATTGCTTGTTGCAACAAAACAGATAAATGCGCACCCGAATTCTTATTAGAGGAACTAGCTATTTTAACAAACAGAATTAATTAGCTCATCAACTAGTCTTCTTTTTTTCCTTTTCACTTCTAGACAAATGTTTTTTGAAAACATTTTAGATGAAGATTGAAGCTATTTTTACCCGCACGGGTAGCTATGACCAAGGTGGGAAAATTGGAACTATGACCAAGGTTCGAATCCCCGCAGCGACCGGGTGGAGGTCACAGAACCTGAAATAAGGCTGGGCCTCTGGTGCGCACGGGGTAAAAGGCCTACTGCCACTCTGTTGATTGAATCACTGTGACTTACATCATCCCATGTGCTCTGTCGGGTCGGGGCGTGGGGGCGCTTGGGGTTGGCAATTCAACCTTTTGGAACTAATAAAGAAAACACAATCTGATGTCTAGATGATGAATTGATGATAGTTGATAATGAAATAAGAAATCTAAAGCAAAAAACCTCAACTTATTGTGAAGCTAGGCACTTAAATCCCAGGCTGCCAGTAATTTGTAATCAACAACCCGTAATACAAAACGGATTTATGCTAAATATTTAAACACGTTAGAGCTGAATCTGATTATTGTCAAATGGAAATCAAAATTCACCAAAGTCAGATTAAGAACACGAAAGTGCCAAAGTAAAGCATGAAACAAATTCTAAACAAGAAGTATATAATTATACGGAGTCTAAATGAAAAAAAAATGATCCATGGTGTTAAACTTTTCCGAGATAATGGGTATGTTTGGCAAATGGCTGTTAGCTGTTGTTGTTAGCTGGTCGTATCAGCTGTTTCCTAACAGCTGGTTGTGTTAGCTGTTTTGACCGGCTGGTTATGTTAGCTGATTATAGATAACTGTTTGGTAAAATTGGTTGTTTCGAAATGGCTGATAGAGTGTAAATTGAACCAGCCGAATGAAGAAGTTGCTCCCCTTAGCTTCTTCAACAATCCATTTTTTCAGCTTTTCAAACTCAACAAGCTAATTTTAAAAGCCATTTACCAAACATCATTATTAGCTTCTTTGACCAATCAAACAGCTGAAATGGGTCAAACAAGTTAAAAGCCGGCTGATAAGCCATTTGCCAAACATACCCAATGATTCTCTCAATTCCCAATTAAGCGAGATGAATGGACGCCAGACAGAAATGCAAAGTCAGTAAGGATTAAATGAAAGCCGAAGCCATGCCAACGATTTGCCTTCTCTGCTTTTGGAGAGAAGGCAAAAGTTGAGAAGTGCTTGAGAAAAAAGTGATTTTGAAAAGTAAAAGTTAGTAGTGTTTGGTAAAATAGAAAAGGGAAAAGCACTTTTCACGCGCAAGCCGAGAAAAAGTAAAAATTAGTAGTGTTTGGTAAATAAGTGTTTTTAAGCCAAAAGGTGAGAAGTATTTTTTGAAGCGGTTGCAAACACTGACATAACTGGGCGAGTGGGAGTGCGTGCATGACTTCCGCAATTCCACGTTCCATTAATAATACGATCATACACACATACAGGCACATGGAGTAATATATTGATATTAATACGGAGTATAATATACACACACATATATAGAGTAATCTTCCGGTCAGGAATTTCCTGACCGGAGTGCCGTCCTGCCTCTTCCATTTGGGAGCCTTTCCGGTGGTATTTTTTGCTCAAATTTTATGTGTATGTTCTTCATCAAGCCTAGTTCATGCATATCAAA